CGCACAGTCTTGATATTAATTTTTGGCAGAGGAATGCCTGCTCTGCTTAGGACAGGATCCTCCACCAACACCCGGTGCTGGATCCTCTCGTAGGCCTTCAAGATGCAGACCTTCTCCGGACTTGAAAGAGATCCAGTCGGTAATCGCAGCCACAGCAGTTTCACCAGCACGTACATCAGCCGGTTGTTCAGAGCACTGATGTCTTGTTGTGCTGGTGCGTAGCGCTTCGCCATTTTCACCTTTTGCACCACAGCAGCATCAACAAGATCATCCCGCTTTGTACGGCAGTACAAAGTGTTGCCCCAGTGTGTTCTGTACAACTGGCTGAAGTGCTGAGGCTGCTTGTCATGTTCCTCCACTGCATTCCAGGCTGCAAGAACTTTGCTTCTCTGCTCAGTGGTGAGTGACAGCTTGTCCTCTGTCAGTCCAATCTCCACCAGCAGAGAGCAGAATGTTTCAAGGTTTTGGAAGCCAGGGAGAGGGTTCTGACTGCAGGCATCCTCCTGTTAAAAATATCATACAAAAGTGGTTATGTTTAAATGCATACCTTGTCTTTTTTTCAGCAACCAGTGCTCTGTATTTAGTTGAAGCAGACACACACCGTCAAGTATGACAACAAAACAGTATATGCGACACAACATAATGTACTATAAAACATCATAGTTCACAGTATGCCACATCATATACACAATGAAACAAAATATTACAGTACGATTGTATAGTAATATAGTGGAGTGTCATACTATACTATATGACTACACTCTTTCACTACCAGTTTGTTATATTTTATTCTTGCAGACAAAAGGCCACTCACCAAGGCAGGAGGGTGAACAGTGCCGGTTTCCTCATTGGTGAGTGTGATGTGAGGCAGGTCAGCTTCCAGGATGTCATCATGTGGTTCCACATCGCTCAGATACGCCTCATCTGGATCAGGCTGCCCAGGCTGAACCACCTCCTCCTCGGGATCAGGTCCATCTTTGACGATGTCCTGAAGAGAGAAGGGTCCGGATTCACCAGTGCTCTGACTGAACAGGTACTCCAGCCCAAGCAGCTCATTGGAGGAGACAGCAGCAGGGGCCCTGAAGTTCTCCTCCACAGTCTCTCCAAACAGCAGCTGACAGCGGGTGTTGAGGCGGTCAGTCAGCGGTGCCGAGTAGTTCCGGTGCCGTTGTCCTCTGCCCCCAAACACTGCATCAGAGCTCCTGTCAGAGTTCCACCGGGCGATGCCACTTATCAGGTAAACCTGATAGGGCCGTGCTGCACAGTGAGGACCTGATCATTACAATAAACAGTATTAGAATAATGACAGGTTGGGAAGTAAAGATTTTAACACATCTCCTAAATTGTTATATTAATATATTAAATAGAGACTACACTTGTGTACCTGGAATCATGTTTGGCAGAACCTTGTGGAATCCTTTCAGGCTGTTGCTTCCACGCAGGCACTTGTAGTAAGGCACGTCGATGCTGTTAATTTTTGTGATATGTGCCACCCTGTACATAATCATGTCTGGTGGATCCTGGATGCACTCCAGATGTCTCTGTTGTGCTGCCCACACCTCATCAATGGCCTCTGTAAATAGGCATACATAGAGTGTGTTATATTCACTTTGTATGCTACACTATGTGTATCAATGTTGTATTAACGTTTGTCCTTTACCAGGTGTTTTGAAGAGGCTCACTCCACTCTCGTCCAATCCTGCAGGACCTTTCAGCTCCTCGATGGCAAGATGGATGAGCCGGAATGTTTCCTGAGCCCCGAGTGTGACCCTCCGCACGTGATGCTTCAGCTGGTCCCTGGAGATGTGGTGCCTGACAATATCCTCGTCAGACGTAGACTGCAGTGCTGCTGGATTTTTGGCTTTGACAGCCTTAATGAGCAGTTCTAGGTCTGTACGATTGTAGGCCATCACTGCTCCGGCGAGCGCAGACTTAAAAGCAGCGTACTTTGCGTGTGACTCTGTGCGGATGGCTGCATCGAACCGGTGGATCCAGTGGAAGATGTCCAGACGCACAACCATCCCACAGTCCACCCAAGGCTGGAACAGAGCCTCCACTGCTGTTGGGCCCTGTGCACGGCAACACCCACGGTCCACATACAGTATTTTAGGGACAGGTTGATTGGCCAACCGAAACCTATCCACGACTCCTCTGCACATTGGCCCCAGTTTCTCTGTGGACTCCTCACAGGTCAGCACAAATGAAACGATTTGCGAGTGCTCGTTTCCGATGCTGGTGAACCACTCAGCTGAGCCTTGACCCTCCCCAGACAGCTTTTTCACCACCTTAAAAATATTTGGAAAAAGTTTGCACAATATAATAATCTCTTTTGGATAACAGTGTAAAAACATTTCAAAGCAACGTGAACATTTGTTAAATTCAAAACAGAGAAAGAACAGAATGTAAAATTATGTTTTGAATTTTACAGTATGGCAATATGTTTTGATTTACATACTTTCTTGGTTGAATCCATTTTCAGCACAGTGCCAAAAGTGGAGAGTATCTGGCTGCGGTAATCCTGCACGTTTTCGGCCTCTGACAGCAGGAAAGCGTGTCGCAGTAACCGCGCAGAGGGAAGCTCTTTGAGTGGAGGTGGAGCCTGGAACTTGTGTCCTAAAGAAGAGACGATCCCTCCGGGTTTTACTAAGGTCATGAGGAGTGTGGTGTACAGGTCCTTACGCTGAAGGTGCTCCTCAGTGTGACTCTCCTGTATCTGCCACCACACCTTGACCATAGTGTTCCCTTCGGTCCGGTCTCTCAGAAGACAACATTCCTATCCACACCACGTCTGTAAGTGGAGTCACAATTGTTATGTTGACGTTTGGTCGAGTGAGTACGTTAAAGCTTGGTTAATTGCACACATCGTGTCAAGGATGCTTACTTGCTGGTGAGGATGGCAGGAAACATGGCTTGATGAGCTTCGCTAAGTTGGGACAAAATAGCGGGATCCCACGCAAGCCACCGACCCCACTTGCCACTTTCTCTGCCGCTCCTGGCTGCCTTTGTGCAAGCTCCACAACACAGCACCTCCGTGATCACTGTGTACCAATTGGACACATCACAGATGTGACGTACCTGAAAAACATGAGGGTGGAAAAAATCAGATCAAATAAAGTCAAATTGCAGCAGATGATTATCTGTGTTTTCTTGCATGTCGATCCACTTAGTAATAAATATTTAATTGTAATGTGATAACTATAACACAGTTGAAGTGTGTTTTACCCGATGATGGTAGCCAGACTTGTAGAGGTGCACGTTCTGTCCTCTACCCACACACTCATCCCCTCGAGGACACTTCAGTGAGTACCTCCACACTCCAACAGGGCGCCACACAAAGACGCGGCTCCGGAAAAAGAGCTGTGGAGTTGGAGGGCCACCTCTGATGTAGCCTGGAGGGTCTGGTGGGTAAAACCACATGCGGTCCAACTTCATCACCTGGCGCCTCTTCAACAGGCCTTTGCTGTCCTTGTACACTTGTACAGGCGTGAACAGCCCTCTCTCCGTGTCCTCTTTGAGCCAGGGTATGTCAGCTTCTGGAATGCCGTTGGGATTTTCCCACAGACGCACCCAACCCTCCAGCTCCACCTGGGACACATTTGACACATACAACAACATTTTGTTGTACAAATTCATGTCAAACTTTTAAACCACCTTTAGACTGATGGCATATAATGTGAATATCACTTACAGGAAAGTCTTTACTAGTGAATGTAAATGTTTGTTCACAGCTGTATATACACGACACACACACACGCCTGAAATGTGACGCTAATGACACAGTTCTGTTTAAAGTTGAGAACCACAATGTGTTGTGTTTTAATCGCCCGTTCTATCATCTACTGTCTAAAATCTGCATCATAAAAGTAATTAAAGCTCTCAGACAAATGAAGTGGAAGCAAAAATACAAAGCAGCTGACACAGGGATCAGATTTACAGCCACATTAAAAACAAAGCTTCCACATATAAAGAAAAACAACCAGATGGAATTATGTTGTAGAGTAAAATGTTAAGCAACAAACAACAACAAGAAAAGTGAGTCTCTGTGGGAGAAAAACACAACGTGTGCTTCACAGTCCAGCTACAAACTACACAACAGCTTACAGAGCTCCATCAGGCTCCATCAGGCTCCATCAGGCACACAGATAACAGGGCTCGGCAACCTGAAACACTCTAAGAGCCATTTGGACCCGATTCCCACAGAAAAGAAAAGACCAGGAGCCACAAAACCCGTCTGACATCTACAATGAAGATAACACAGCATATAGGGTTTTTTACCTTTATGCTACGTATAAAAAAAACTGTAGTGTGTTGCATTTATAAAATCAATGAACTGCTACAGACAAAACTACATTTTAATTTCTTCTGCAACAAAAACATTTTAAACTCCGGAAACAAAGACGCTGAGTTGAAGATTACTTTCAAATAAAATACTCAGCGTCTATTTGAATCCTCCTCGTATTTATGAAATAAAAAAAAAGTCACCAAGAAGATGTGGAAAGTCTTTTCAGATTTACAACAGTAACAGTAATACCCTTCTCCAGATTTAGCGAGAAAGTGGCAACACTGCGCGTGCCGGCGGGTGCCGCACATCAGCGGTTGTGACGCATATTTTGAGCGATAAAAAAAAAAAAAACTTTTTATTTTAATGGTACAAGATCACCATAATCTTCAATTTAGAATTACATGAGAAAAACTTCACGAACTAAAATAAAAAGAATTTAAATTAAATACTCTTCATATGAAACAGCCGCACGTGGCTCCAGAGCCGCGGGTTGCCGCCTCCTGTTCATGAACACATGAGCCATGACGGACTGATCTGCTTCATCTCTTCCATTCTATGTAGTCGGCAACATCATCACATGATGCTCCTTTACTACATTACCAATCCAGAACAACTCCACCCTACTTCATCGCTCGGTGACATTTTTCTTTAACACGTTATCAGGGGAGAGCGCGAACGCAGTCCCCCACTACCAGAAATTATGCAGTCGAGATTCCCACATTTGGGGAATTCGCAGGGGTCAGCACAACCGGAGTGCAATGGCTGAGCCTCGCCCTGGGTGAACCACCTTCTTGATCATGGTATCTCCCCTGCCAGGTAAGTATGAGTTGTACAGCTCACGCTCAGAGGAGTCATTCACACACAAACCCAGCACACTCATGGATCTCACAGTCTATTCATTAAACTAAACCACAGGCTGCAGAGAGCTCACACTCTATATCATGTTAATACATACAAGAAGCAGCTTTGAACAAAGTTCGGCAGAGATTATTCACATTTTATCTCAAACACGAGTGACTACATTGTCCATCATGCAATGCTGTACTTGCATGTCAAAAGCTAACAGAAAAATCACATTTCTGATCTATTTACCCTCCTACACTCATCAACAGTCCAAGAGGAAGTTAATGTGAACCAAAGCAAAAACAAACTGGCACCAAAAACAGTTTTGACCACATCTGACATTCAGAAAAAAGAATGTAAAACACAAAAGACACTTTTTCCTGCGCACGTTACAACCACTTCCTGTTTCTTTGTTCACTAGTGGTGGGAAACTGACTGTCCTGCTGCTGCCACCTGCTGCTCTGGAGGCTCAACAACACCTCTGACTTTTATAATGTCTCATGATGTCACACAATACAATTCAGCACTACAAGCTGCCTGACAACACACACACAACCTTTCTGAAGCGTTGAGTGTAAAGTTGTGGAATAAAGAAAAATAAACCTTTTTTGTTTGTTTGCTTGTTTTTTAAATTCTAACACCAACATGTTATGAGTCCAAATCATGACTTGGTTTATATGTGTTTTTTATGGGGTCAACTGATAACAAGCAAAAATGTCAAATGATTTAATATTTTAAAGATTTACTAACTTGGCACACAGCAGTCATGGTCATCAGGGTTTTTTCCTCTGTCATATCATTTCTTGTTGCGTGATCTTCTTGGCCAGGTCTTGATTTTATTCTCCAGAGGCTTCCTGGTTAAATAAAAATAATGCCATAAAACTTTTAAACGGTGACAACACCAACATGACACGTTAAGAGGTTTATGTGACTCACAAGAACACAAATAAATTATAATGTTCAAAATAAGAGTGGCCCATTGCTTATAATGTATAATGATGCCAAATGACTGCAGTTGATCCACAAACTATTCTGCCAAAACTGGTTAGAACCAAAAAAGGTGTGCAGGTAACTTCTACCTTGACTTGACAACGTTCACCTTTTTAAATTTCCTTAACAGTGACTCATGCTGCTCCTGTAGGAGATTACCAACAGAAATTCATTGTATTAAAAATGAGGCATCTTGAACTTCTTTAAACTTTAAATTGAACAAATCTGACCAAAAAAAGTAGTCAAATGTCATAACAACTCTTTACAACTTCACACTTTCAGGCCAAACACACACACGTCACAGACAGACTGTATTTATAATATGTTTGTATTTACTTTGAACATCCATAGAGGGGGTGCACCGTTCCTGGAAGTACTGCAATACCAGGTCGATGCGTGGAGTGGACGGAGCAAGCCCCTATTCCATCTCCCTGTTCCAAAAATCAATTTAATATATGGTCCCCGGGTAGGGGACGTATCAGATATTAAACTGATAAGAACAGATACTACACTTGATCTTAGCCAAAAGGCCGAGAAGCGATACCGGGAACACGTCGGAGGAAACCACGTCCTTCTCCGCACTGTCAATCTAACTCCTGGTTTGGAAAATAAAAACTTCAGACAAATTACACATTTTACCTCGTCATACAAAATACTAACGATGTACGACGACATCGTGTAACACTGCTGTTGTTTTGTTGCGCTAAATTAAATCAACCGATGTTCGCAAATGCAGCTTCGTGTGTCTTCCTGGACACGTGGTACGTTTTAGACCAATAGGAAGCAGAGAAACAGAAACTGCAAATAAACTAATATTCCTTCACACACACATCACAAAATATATATGAACTCTATATACGCGTGTATTTAGTCTTTCGGTTGACTTTATGAAGGAGAAAAAAGTTGTGATGTTGAGGAAAATAATGTTTTTTAACGATCCTGATTCACAACAAACGGAGCACTTCCAGCGGCCTCTAGTGGAGAGGACGGCTAACGACACACTTCATGTTCATGCTCAAGCACAAACCAACCAGTCAGTAAATACAATGTTAACTAACCAGCTGGTTACCGTGGGAGGTCTAACTCAATACATTCAACATGCCTGGATTAACTCTGTCTTATAAACAAAGAAAAGCAGTTGCAAATAAAGAGAAATAGCTGTCACGAGTCCCACAACCTCAACATGAGCACCAACCGTGTCACATATGACGGTACAAATAACGTTAATTAAGGACGTTGGAGGGCCTACACACCTCTATTACTCACATACACCTGACTAAGGTGAAAATTAATCGGCACCATGCTGATATTAACTCAGCTGCAGGCACGAGTTACTTCACCTGAACAAAAGTGACAAATTGTGCATAAAAACAGAAGAGGGCCAAAGTTTAGCATGTTAGCTAGCAACGAGACTGCTAACACCAATTCTACTGCGTCACACTCCAAACAGTCGACAAAACGAGTTATCTTAGTAACTTATCTAAATAGTTTACACGACAGTCTGACTAGCGAAAAGAAATATAAAGTTGGATGGTACTTACAAACTTAGAAACCGTCGTCGTCCACTCCGTTAATTGGTACCACAGCTAATTGCGAGCTAACAGTCACTGATTCTGCGTCTGACCGCCAGACACCCGACAAAATGGCGCAGGCTGAACAAAACGGCGCAGACTCGTTGAGCTTGAACTGAGTAAAATCTACGAAACAGTTTGCAGCCCCAAAAAACACGTTCTTAACCTCACGAAAAACTTTAAACCCTCGGGTCTGTACATTTTAAAGAAAACAATCGAAGAGCCTTAATGTCAGCAAGTATTTTTTTTCAATAAAACTTTATTTTTTACATATTTTTTTGTTACACAAAATAACCTCGCTGCTTCTAAGCACACGTTTCTAAAATGGATTCAAACGACTCACACTTAGCAGGAAAGTTCACGTAATTCCGCGTTAATTATGAGATACTTACATTTTAAAATTTAGAATTTGACACACACAAAGTATCACCTTAATCAAGACTGAATCATAAAACACACTTAAAATATAAAGAAAATCCATTATCTATTTTTTTAAGTATGTATAGTTGGGTACATTAAACACATCAGCAATGATAAAAGGTTGGGGCTAAGTTAACACACACACACACACACACACACACACACACACACACACACAAGTTGACACTGAATGAATTCATCACCAGAGAATAATACAGCTCTGGAAGTTGTGTTAAAAAAGATCTAAAACATTTCAAAAAGCGGTCACAACATCAAATGTAGCTCCTAAAGACTGATTTCAGAGGTGCA